AAATGGCAGTATTGATGTAATATAATCTCATATTCTAATTAATTTTTAATAATTTTTTTAAATATAAGATCAATGGCAGTATCCAGTTTGGACAACTTCAGTACATTTAATTCAGTGTATAATTAAAAAAACTCCTTATATTCTAATCACGACAAAAATTTGCGTAAACATACTACACGTAGTATACAAGTATATGTTTAATGCACTATTTAGTACATTACGATGTAGATTAATTTCACAATTAAAATCGTACACTTACCCTCGTACTGACGATTATATCTTTATTAATCTCTAAAAGTGACTTGTAATTTGTCACTTTCGACTTGTGCAGAATTATATACAAGTTTCTAATACCAAATGATTTTGCGCTGTATCTCAGAAGGCTTCGACGAAACTTGCTGGAAAAAGACCTGTACGACCAGTTCTTTGTTGAGTGCCCTTATACCAGCCATCGTCGCGTTTTTTATGAACATAAATAACGTCTCCCACTCGAAGTTCTAATTCAAATTCGCTATTAGGTGGATATGGCACGATGCAACGGAATCTATATACTCGGTCTCTGTAGAAAAAATTGGTAATTTAAATAAACAAAGAAATAAATAAAAGAATACAACGAACTAGGTAAAAATTAAGTATTTTATACCGTTCGCGAGTAGGTTGTTGCTTCGTCTGTTTCCCCATACCAGCATCTAAAGAGTTACTCTTACGGTGATGATTTCCCATCGGTGTACACGCCATTCCACCCGATTCATTGGATCTATGAATATTAATAAGGAAACTAAAATTAGAATTACAATAATTTCGGAATATTTCATTATTTTATACTTTCACTTTATGCAGTGATTATAAGTTAAATGCACACATATTCAATCACAAGCAAATTTTAAAATAAAATTCATGGTTAAAGAAACAATAACAGCAATCACAAAATGTGACTAAAAACAAGCATAAAATATAACATTTTAATGCTATCAACAAAACCAAGCATTTTTAACACAATACATTTTCTAATTTTTGGTGTTTATCAGCATACTTACCTAATTATAGCAATAATACATTTAATTGCAAATGTTAATGCAGTTAAATATATGCATTACACAATTATTACATACATATTACATTATAGAAAAGACTAAATACAATTTCCTTTTTTATATATCAGCTGGACAAATATATTGAGATAAAATTTTGACTGTAAATACTACTTTTTTAGTTATTCTGTTTGTCAGACGTATAATTTTAATAACTAACCTCTGGAGGATTGAGACCGGTAAAGATGGTCTCTCCTTGTATTTAAGTCTTTGTGAAGATGTGACGTGCCCCTGCACAGAGCCTGGACACAAACGATGGTGGTTGTTTGAAGCATTTATTTCCTGTGTCGCTCCCACCTGTAGCAACTGACTTGGGCAAGATCCCGATCTAATTTTAAATATACCCGCCCAATCCCCCCGTGTAGAATTAGACAAATAATTCAACACGTGCAATTCATATTGTGTTAAAAAAATGGAGAAAAAAGTAAGGAAAACACTATTTTGCACGTTATACATATAACTGACTTGGCAATTTCTGCCTATGTATGTGTGCAAACATTAAAATCGTGCAGTAATTTCAACAATTGTACAAAACATGGCACAAGTACATAGTTACATAAATTTTATATGTACATAAAAACATAAATGATTTTGAACAGCACTACATGCAAATTGTTAATACAATATATTAAGTATGCTATAAACATGCAGATTATTCAAAATTCTTTTATTTCCTTAAAATAGTGTATGTGAACGCACTGTTATGCTCATATAAAGCATAGACTTGTCATTATTGTAATAAAAAAAGAGCTCTTACCGAATGTGTACTGGATTAATGGAATTACCATCATCAAATACTGGATTATCCATTGAATATGTAGTAGGAGGTGGTGATTTGGATTTTTTGATATTTGTCAATCGACGCATTAAAGAGACACATTTATCCTTTTTCTCTTTCTGCTGTAATTCAAAAGTATATTCATCATACACTGATATTTATTTATACATATTCGTATAACAAGAAAAATCATATCATTCAAAGACGAATTTGTACCTTTTCAGAGTTTTTGGATGCAGTAACGGATGTAGTAGAAGAAGGGGAGGCCACTGCATGCAAAGTACTGTTTGGACTTTTATTCATTTCATTTATAACTGACGAAGTGGCCCCAGTAGCGGCCGTACCACTATTGTGGATATTAGCAACAGTGGTTGTAACTGTTAATGGCTGTGGTAATGTTACCTGTTTTCCAGGAGAAGCTGAAACGAAAAATAGTCTTATAGATTTTAATATGATACATTTTATGTACTCATTACATACAAATATTTGATGACATAACAGCACTGTGACTGCGTCCAAGAGGATTTCCCGAGTTTTGTTCGTTGTATCGAGGAGGACTGTTTTCTTGACTTTGTGTTTTGCTTTGACCATGCCAAGATGACGACACCATAGAAGATGGACTAATAGCACGTGGTGGCAACTCTGGTGGTAACAAAGTACGTGGATTATAAGGTTGAGGAGCAGGTCCTTTGTTTTTGGTGTAAGTCACAGTTATTCGTGACTCGGTACTATTTTGACTTGTCGATGATGGAAAGTTCTGATGTTGTCCTGTGTTTGGTGATCCTCGACACAAACCACGTTGACACCTGTAAAAATACAATAACTTAAAATCAAGAAATTATATTATATACTTATATTGTAAATATTTCATGTACTTAGCGGGCGCAACATAATTTCCTGGAAAAACTCCACACTTTTGTGTACGATTAGAAGTTCCTTTAAACCACCCATCTTGGCAGCGTTCTGTCACCATATAAATGCCACCTTTTCTCAATTCAAGTTCGTCCGCTTTTTGTGGTTTGTACGGATATAACGCTATATATGCAGCTGGTAAATGAGTGTTTCCTGTTGCAGTAGACAAACTTTGTGACGACTGTGCAAGAGCAAGATCACTACTACCGCTTCGCCTATGGCGAAGATTGTGATCTGCAACGCTGATACTAGTCTGATAAATCAAAACAGTAACTTAATCTGATATAAAAGTAGTTTAAAACATTTTTAATCGTACTATTATACGAAGAAAACTATTTTTCACCTGTAGTGGGGAAAATGAATCGTTATTGCAACTACTATTGCTGCTACCAACGGCGTTGTCTACTGGGGGGCTATGTATTTCAGCACTGTGTCTGTGATGTGGATGAGCCTGATGACCAGTATTGACAGCAGTGAAACTATGACGCTTGACATTATGTCTATTTCCAACTGCAGGAGGAGAAGTTGCAGGGCTACTAGGACTACTTGGAGCAGTGCTAGAACTGCTAGATGTAGTTGAACTATTGGGAGTGTTTGGAGTAGTAGTTGAAGAACTACCTCCTGATGACACACTTGAAATGGAATCAGAAACTGGTAAAATAGTATTCTGTTGAAAGATACATTAGGAATTAATACATTTTCTTAGAAGACTTTTTGACATTTCGAAACATTACAAAATTGATTTTACCTGTACAAGTTGAGGTCGAGGTTGACTTATTTGTACATTACGTGAATGATCAGTTGGTATTAAGGGTGTAGTTTCTTCATTGGTGGGAGTAGGAGGTGCTACTCTTGATGGACCTGGCTGTGTACTATTTTAAGGAAAATGTAATTACATTAATTACTGATTCAAATACAATATTCATTTTTTAAATAACAACAATTACTTTGTTGAAAGTTTCATTAAAGCTCTTGCCACACTATTGAGTTCTACAAAAGCCAATGGAAAGATGCCAATTCTATCCAAAAGTTTTCCTTCTGCCCAATTTTCATCAACTCTTCTAATAACACTAATAACTTCACCCTGTAAAAATGTTTTTCAAAACTATTTTTATAGTACATGCTATAAAAAAAATATATAAAGTACAATATTGAATCAAATAAATACTGAATTAAACAAACATATAACTATCTTCATGTACCTTATTGAATGTAAGACAGCCATCTTCATCATCATTAGTCATTCTAAAATCATACAGAGCTTTGCACTGAGGAACATGTGGTGTCAATGGTGTCATTACCTGTAAGATATATATAAATTTATGAAATGTTGAATATTTTCAAGCATTTTTTTTTTAACTTACAAATATTTTAAATTACCTGAACATAAGATACAGGAAAAACTCCATGACTATTAACACTTTCTCCAAGACACCAATTATTATCAATTTTTTTACGAAGGATAACAATATCACCTTTTTTAAAAGACAAATCTCTAAAATATAAAATAATTGATAAAATATCATTAAATATATGGATTTAATTTTTGAAAGGATAATCAAATTACCCTGGAACTTCTGACACATAATCATAGATCGCTCGACCATATGTTTGATTGTGTAGATGGACTTGTTTGGCTGTAGCATGTCGAATTGGTTCATTTGTGTATGCAACAGGAGTGGGACTAGTAGTTACAATAGGAGCTGAAGTAACTTGATGACCACCAAAGAGTCTTTGAGGTCCTAGATTGCTTTTAGTTAAAGATTTTACAGATTTAGGAGCTGCATTACGCATTCCTTCTAAAATACGCATCAGCAGCACATTAGGAGGTAAATCATCCACTTTAGCATCAACTAATATGCGGCATTCAGGACAGCGCAACTCGCGATGAGTGCTGACTATTTCTTCTAAACATTTCTTGCAAAAGGTATGCTGACAGGGAAGTACTTTGCTCGATGTATCTAATCGTTCGAGACACACCGAACATTCTAATAAGTCATTCAGCATACATTCATCCATTCTGATTTGAATTCACGAACGCTCACTTTCAATCTTTTCTTCTTCAGTTCGTTCGTTTATACCCGTTTTTTTGAAACGTAACTTCTCCTGCTTTTTTTGATCTTCCCACGCGTCTCGTCTTTGGTGCACTTACAAGCCGCCATGCACCTGACGTACTTATCTTCTATATAACAAGCAACAACGAAACTTCAAGGATAATTATAATAGTCCACCAATAAGCCCACCTCGTGTGAAAATATACAGACATATTATTTAATCCTCCTCGTAACTTTCGAACTACTCTTCCATCTTTTCATTCACCCTAAACCAAATATTCTTAGGCGCGTCAGTATACGCGCTGTCATCTGAGTGCATTTCGTCACACACACCAAACCATATCGATCAATCGGACTCTCGTCGATTATAGTCGATTCTAAAACGGGCCAACAAACGTTACACGATATATCTATCCACATGTATATATTCTGCAACTAAAAATGTCACTATGAAGCAACATTTAATGTAAATGCATAAAATTTATTTTTACATCAAAATTTGTATATACAGATAGTGTAATATTATTTTAGAGAGTAAATATAGGAAAACCTTTTAATTTCATTCAAATGGAATACATCTGACTTTGCGTACAGTTATAGATATGAAATTTACATAAACATCTTCGATCTTATATATTGCGGATGCAATTATATACATACATATTATATATCTATAAATATTTTCATATGAAGAATTAGTATTTTTCAAAGGTAGTTATTATATTAATATATTATTAGGAATTTCCCTTAATATTAAGATAAAATGTAACCAATGAAAGAAATTCTTTCGCCTCGAAGATATATTCGAAAAAAAAAATATTATTTACTTATAAAATTGTAATGTACTGTACTTATCATGTGGAAACATTCTTGCTGATTGCACTTTATGACACATTCTACAGTAAACGATATTTATAATGGTAATTATCCTCGTCCGTCAATGGAAACTTTCCTTATTAAAAATTATGTCATTCTGCAAAGTATAGTACTTACTACATATATTATCGAAAT